GATAGATAGATAGATAGATAGATAGATAGATAGATAGATAGATAGATTATAGAGTCATATATGTTGTTGATAATTTTGCTGGAATGCTAAGAGAAACTATTAAGCTGGAGACTTTCTCTCTAAAATTTGGAAATAGCAGAGGTAGTATCAAAAAAACCAAAGAAAGGAAAGGAATCTCATACCTCCATAAAAGTAATGCATTCATCCTGTCTATTGAAGAGAATAGGCTAAAAGATTTTGTGTACTTGCGGGCATGGTGATTGCTTCAAGAGAGGATAGGAATCTGCTTGTATTTGCATCTATAATGCCTTTTCTTGCTGCAGTAAGTGGCCATTCAGGGCATTAACTTCTAATGTCTTCTCTTGTGAGAAAGTTGTGTCCGTCCTCCCACCCCCCAAAAAATCTTATCCATGGATTGGTATTGCTCCACATCAATGAGATAGCATGCCTGTGAATATTGGCTGTGCTTTTTGTGTATTTTATTTTCATAATCCTTATCAGGGCTTCCTATAGTGCATTCTATTTCTATTATTTTAGAATAATAGAACTCGAAGATCCTAATCTAATGAAAGCTATTTTCTAAACTTTTTGTAAAGATTGGGGTGGTAATGGCAGTAATTACCTTTTCATATACGTTCCAGAGGTAATATTCCCCCTCACTCACAAACAATTTCCTATTAATACATTAAACCATTAAGCATTTCAACCATATGAACACTAATGGATCTTTTCTTGTTTCTTTGTATACAGAGAGTTTGGATGGCGAGATCCAGAACTTCCAGAAGTTATTCAGATGTTACAGCATCAGTTCCCCTCTGTACAGTCTAATGCTGCTGCTTATTTACAGCATTTATGCTTTGGCGACAATAAGATAAAAGCTGAGGTAAGAAAATCATTTAATAGGAGAGAATATATCTCTCTGTGTATTTGTATGTGTGTCCGCATCTCGATGTTGCAATTCTGAAGTGGCTTCATCAGACCAGTATTAAGTACTTCTGAATAGTAACTTTGTTTGAACTGGGCTGAAGACCTGAGCATTTTGGGGCTGGCTTCATGGATTCTGTTTGGGAAGAATAAAGCTAATTTCCCTTTTTATTGTAAAGGTATGTGCAACTTTCAGTGCTCTCTGTGTTATGAAAAATGTGTTCATCAATTTTGATACCACTTTTTGCTTATTTTTTTCCTTACAGCTATGTCTTGATGAGAAGGAAAATACAATTTAATCTGGTTTGGTCGGGTTAAACAGGTTCTCTAAAATATCACTTTTTAAAAGCTTCTCAGTACAAAACCAAAGTATTATATTAGTCCGTCTTAAGTATCCTGGCTTAACAAAAAAAAACAAACAAACAGGCTTCTCTGATTTTTATGGTATATGATAACTCCCTGATCCAGAGACTTCTATCTTGAGTTGGTCTTAAAAGCAAGTTAAGGATTTCTATCATTTCTTCCTCTCAGAAATACATGACGGCATGTAGCATTACTCTACATCTCTTTCTACAAGGGATTGTTGCAAGAATAGATGATTTATTTAGTTCACATAAGGCATTGGGAGCTAAGGAGAATCATATTAATGGGGGTACTTATAAAAATGTCACCAAAAATTGTACATATAGTTCTAGCTTATTGACCATTCATTCGGTCAATGACCATTCAAAGTTACAATGGCTCTGAAAAACAAGACTTAAAAATGGTCCAAAATGGTCCTCAAAGTTGCCATCGCAGCGTTCCTGTGCTCATATGGTCATATATTTGGCACTTGGTAAGTGGCTCACATTTATGACAGTTGCAGTATCCTCCAGTCACGAGATCTCCGTATACAACTTCATAGGCAGCTTCTGAAAAGCAAAGTCAATAAGAAAACCAGCAAGAAACCACAAGCCACATCATGTTGTGATTATCAACCTGTGGTAATTCGCTTAACTGTATTCAGAACTAACAGGAACTGTCATTGTAATTTGGTGCCTAATGACTGTGCTGCTTAGTGATGGAGTTGTGAGTCCCTATTGCAGCTGGTAAATTAGTTTATGGGTCAGTAAATGAGGACACCTGTAGTTGTAATTTTGTTTTGAAAAGATTTTGCATTTATTATTCTCATATGTATAATTTCCCAATATGTTTTCATTTTTGCAATCAGCTTCTACTTAAACTTTCATTAAAATGATTATTCATCTCTTGATTTTTCTTGGAAAAGAAGCTAATAGGTAATAGTTTCTTTTAAATGTACATCGGCAAGTCCTTTCCATTGACATCAAACTGATCACTTTTAGGAAGCTTCTGTAAGTTGTTCTTTTGCCATTTTCAGGAAGTCCTTTAGGAGCCTTAGTGATTGAACAGCTGATTAGTCCATTCTGCACATTATATTTTCTGATTAGCTCTTATAGATTGCTCTTCTTGCTAGAGTTGCAGTAAGTTGGCAGCATGAAACTTATTTTTCCATATTCTGAGTAAACAAGATTTATGCTATGAAATGGCATGCTTCCATTTCAGACCTCAGGGAATCCTGGAGTACTTAATTTGAATCATAGAATAAAAAGGATCTTAGAGATCATCTAGTCCAATTGCCTCTCCAGGGCACTATTATAGCATCTCTGACAGATGGCTTTCTAACCTCTGTTTACACATTTCCAGCAAAGCAATCCACCTCTTCCTGAGGCAATCTATTATATTGTTAAACAGTCCTTATCGGTAGGAAATTCTTCCTGATGTCCAGACTGCTTTCTTATAAGGTTTCCTGGAATAACAGTAAACAGAAATGCTTATTGTCTCCTACATGACAGCCCTTTAGCTACTTTAAGACAGCTGTCATGTTTCCTGGCAATCAAGCTAAACGTAGCCAGCAATTTCTAATGTTCTTTGTATTTCTGTTATAATGATGGCTGCTGTCCTCTGGACTTAGTCCGGTTTTCCAGTGTGCTTCCTAAATATACTGTTCAGAATTGGATGCAAAATTACTGGTGTCGTCTAACCAGTACAGAATAGAGAGGAAAGATTACTTCTCTTGACCTTTATACCATACCTCTGTTAATGCAGTTGAGAATTGCATTTGCTTTTTTTCCCCAGGTGGTTCACAGTGTTGGCTAATGTTCAGCATGTGAACCATCAAAATATCCTGATACTTTTCATGCACATTTTTACTCAGTACATAGTGTCCTCGGTCATATCTTTGATTTTTTTTTTCTATTTGAAGAAGAACTCTCCTTTTCTTTCTGTGAAGATTCATCTGTTTGGCTTCTGTTCATTATTCCAGTTTGCCAGATCTTCCTTGATATTACCCTCTAACTTGTTTGCTACAATTTATCTTTTGTTATACACAGATCTCATAAACTTATTTTGTAACCCTTTATCCAAGTCATTTATAAATATTTTAATAGTATGGATCTAGAACACAGTACTGTGGTACATTATTTAATTACTCCTACCATCTGGATGTGGGGACCATTAACATATGCTTGTTGGGTACAGTTGTTTAGCTAGCATAGTATGCATAGACCAATTCATATATTATCATCTTCTCAACTAGGATCTCAACTTTGCTGGTCAAGATTTATTTTGTCTACCACATTCCCATGGTCAACCAAACCAGCCACTCTTAACAAAAAAGAAGATCAGATTGATTTAGGAATCCTTTACTCCAGATCTAGCTCTGACATTACCAAAGTGCAGCAGCTGTTCCAGGCATGAACCTTAAAAGACAGTGAATGACAGCAAGATTTTGAAAAATAAAATTTGTCGCCTTGCCATTTATGTTGCTGCAGTTAGATATGATAAAAATATGCTGTTTCATTATGAATGCTAAAATAAAATTCTAATATCAGTTCAGTGCACTTATGAATATGAAATGGAAAGAAGGGTTGTCATTCATTGTGGGAACAAAATGTTTGGAGCAGCCTGCTTTAGACTCACTTCAGGTAGTGCAACTATGACACTTATATTGTAGCTTATACCTTTTTTGTTTTAACAGTATTTCCTCACATTAAATTCTTAATGCTACCAAGCTGCTTGGTACAATTTGCAGAATCATAATTAGAGATACAGGTAGTCCTTGTTTACTGATTGCTCATTCTGAAACCCTTCTGTCATGCCCTTGGTGGAGACTGACTCTAAGGGAAAGGGGGAACAGCTGACAGGGAGTGGAATTGTGGCTCCGGAGGTTGTGGAGGAGGCTGGGGAAGGGCAGAGGACAGCTGGGCAATCAGAGGAGAACCCAGGCCTGTCCCCTCTCCATCCTAGGGCATGCAGGGAGGAGAGGATAAGGGAGAGACATGGTCTACTGTGGAGGAGAGGGCCTTGATCCCCTTCCTGGGCTGCAGCTGTGACAACTGGATAAGGGGACAGACATGCATATGGGGAGTGCTGGAAAAAAAGCATGGAAATATCTCTAGTTTATTGTTCCTCTCTGAGTTTGGCATCCTTCCCAGTGTGTGTTCTGATACCTGTCAAAGTCTTCAAGCCCTTATCTTGCCTGGTTGTGTTGTTTTTTACTCTTTATAATTTATAGGCATTCTTAGTTCAAACGGCATTTTGTCCTTCTTGTAACTGCTTGTGTGGGAGTTTTTTGTCTTTAGTCAAGGATATTTGGAGCTTGGAAGCAAAGTGAAGGAATAAAAGGGGTTTTACCTGTTTTTATTTTGTATCCCACCCTGGGTCATCCCACCTTCAAAGTTACAATGGTGCTGAAAAACTAACTTAGTGGCCAATTTATGCCATTTAGGATTTTCACAGTGTCCTATTCATATTTGTTGTTCTGTGCCTAACCTATTCATAAAACACTCTCTGTTTGCTTTTATTGATTTCATTAAGAAGGCATTTAATTTTTCTTTTCCAAATTTATATGGATGCAATAGCAATAGCACCCCAAAGTAAATCTAGTTTGGGATCAGATCAAAGACTATTCCAGACTAGCATTCTTTTTTGCATCCTTGCCAACCAGCAGCTAGTATATAAGGTCAGGTTACCTTTGCTACCAGTAGTATTAAAAAAAAAAAACAATGGTACAATCATATATCTATTCTTAAGAAATGGGTCATTTTCATTTAATATGCAATAAAACAAAAATTTTATGCTGCTATCCCTTCTGCAAAAAATTCAAGGCAATTCTATATTTTGGATTCCTCCGTTTAACCCATACTAATTGTAAGAAATATATTAGTTTAAAGGATAGTTTTGAAGTCAATCCCTGCAATTGATCTTAAAACCTTAGCAACATTTTGAATAGCTCATTTATTAAATGTTTACTAGTGGCATTAGTCAGTATTACTTAGCAATTCCTTTCAGAGCATTGGCATCAATAGTTGGGATTAGATTTTACAAAAGTCCCAATAGTTAATGATTTGTCAGTCCACATATGGTCAGATTGAATTCTTGTGACAACAGAAATTAAAATTAAGCCTATGTTTTCTTTGTGTTTGGTAATTCTGCAAACATGAAGAATTAATGTCAAGTTCTTTGCAAAACAGTGGCCACACAAGAAGGCATGAAAAGATATGTACTAGCCCTTCTGCTTCTTATTTTTCACTCATTTTTAACAAATAATTCAATGGAATTCAATTTTCTGAAGAGTTACATTCCTTCCCTTTAATGCTCATATCACTACATTAAAGAAGGCCAATATGTGCTTATGATAATCCCATTTTGTTTTTTCAAAGAAATTTTAATTATTAGATCATATTTGTAGCTTTAATTTGATTTGAACTCAGCTCTTAGCTTTATTACAAAAATCCACTACAGCACCTATTTTAACTGGTGCTGTTGCTTTTTTATTTATACATAAAATAATGGGCAGGCTTGAGGCTTAGTCATACTGTGGTTGATATATTTTTTTTGTTAATCTAATTGAAATCAAATCAAATTTAGCACTAGTTCTTGCCTTAATTCTTTGAACTG